TCTTTAAGATGGGATCTAATTAATACTTCCCATTTTACAGGTGAGAAACTGAAAAAATCACAAGTGGTTCAGGCAACTTGTTCAAGGTCACACATCTACCGAAAGTGGTCAAACCAGAAACTAAAATTGTCCTGCCTAACTTGAAAGCCCCCAATTATAAACCGTTTCAACCAACACTACCTCTCCACACAACAGAAAAAAAGAAAAACATGATGCAATGTCCACATTATTATTTTAAAAACAAGTCCATTCCGTGTCTGATTAAAAAAAAGCATGGCTGCATGAACACTTGGCCAACATTCAGAAGTATTCTGAAATACTCGATTAAATTATGGGGGAAGCACAAATATTAAGACGCTGGTACTTTAGTGTCTAGCGATGATGACGGTAGCTTTTTGATAAACATCCATACATCCTTTCTGCAAATGAAATATTCACAATGTTTAAGATAACTTGTGAATTATTTTTGCACCCATAGTATTACTACGGAGTTTTATCACATAGACCATACGAACAGCTAGTCACACTTACAGAAATAAAATATCCCTACTAGCACTCGACAACCCTCTAGAGTCATCTTGACGAAACCGACGACAGAACAAGAAAATGTGGAGAGCGGAGTTATACAGGAAGTGATGTCCTATTTTAGATATAAATGGGTCGTCTAGTGGGAACATGACACTAGTACCATCTAAGTATATTTCCCCAAGCTGAAACTGATCCTTTTCTCCTTATATAAAAAGGTAGTCATGTATTAGAATGTAAGATTTTGTGAACTTAAGGATGTTAGTGTATCCTAACACACTCATACAGAGCCCTAGATACTACCACTGTGTAAGTGAACATAGGATCAGTGGCCGAGACGAGTAGCAGCTAACGCTCTCCTCTTCCAAAAATGGATGTTTTGGAACCAGTTACCCTAGGAAAACCTGAAATGAGCAGGTAATTCGCGCCACTAAAACCAATGTCAACAGGGGGGATTGGGTATTTCCCTTTTCCATCGAGTGCTTTCCAAAAATAATTTTATGCGGCTTGTGGAGCAGGTAGGGTTGCTAAGGTTTTTTTTCAGTGTCTACAAGGAGACAAAGCGCGAGAGTGGCAACTATACAGCCAAATTGGCGACAATGGAATCTAGTTACAAGGTAACTAACGAGTTCTCATCAGGGAATAAGGAGAGACGTACAGAAATGTGCGTAGTATGCAGCGAACACTGCTTCAGTAGCAGAAAATGAATGAAAATTTTATTAGAGCCAAGCGAGCTATATTTGACAAAGCTAATAGTCGGCAAGAATACACATATGCGAGAAACCTTTACAAAACAAAATATAGATAAAACATAGATACAGCAGGACAGACATCCATTTGAAAACGTGATACAATGAGAATATGAAAGATACATTAATCAGATACTACACATATTCGCATATAACAGACACTCATCTCATCGCAAAAA